AATGATAGTATGGCTTATAAACACAGTATCTGAGGAAAGGTCCATAGAATATAGTTAACCATGGGACACTTAAGGCAGGCTGGACTTTTCAAGTACAGCAGTGTCATAGAAATCTTTTTCAGTTATTACTGACATGCAGCATCATGTTTATTAGAAATCCACAGACTTTCAGATTCGCCAAAGAAATATTTAATTCTATGGAGTGAGAGCAAACATTTAAAAATATAATGAAGCCCACTAAAAATGCATTTCCATTACTAAAAAAAAAATTAAACAAGATCAAAACAAGCAATCCTACTTAATGACAATTTTACACGTTTCTTACAGGTATACTGAGTTTGCTACAAATAAAAGCAGATAAATTTAGCCTTCTAGGTTGGCAGAAGATCTATCAATAATTGACTCAGTTTATCATTGCTAGGTTCAATAAAAGCCTGAATTTATCATCACCAGTTCATTTGGATACCACTTTCCCATGTATGTGTGTGTGTGTGTGTGTGTGTGTGTGTGTAGTGTGTGTGTAGTATTTGTTCACTGAAACCCATAGTTTGTACCCTTCATTCCCTTTCCTAACCATTGTGTTATAGTGTTTGTTCAGTAATTGCTATTGCTATTTTTAGGATGATCACATGCCCTACTTTACAGAGGATAGTTCTCTGTTTGAAGGAATGTCTTTTTGAGGACTAAATAAGATAAAGAACGATAATGCAACAGGGCAGCAGATCTGTCTTGCCTTGGGCAAAAACACAGTTACAGCTGGTCTTTATAATTTTAGAATTATGTGTCTTTCCTCTCATTTTTGATGGTTCACATTGCCAAAATATGAGGAAATGCATTACCAAAATGCATCATCTAGATGGTTCATTTAGACACAACATAGTTTGGGTGTCACTTTTGACACAGCCAAAGCAATTCTAGAACTCTTTAAAGAAAAGTAGCATTTAATGTCTAGGACACTAGATGGAAACTATTTTGGAGAAGGTGAGTGGGATGATACATGGAGGACCAGGTGGCATTACTGGTCATACAGCGCTCCTCCAACTGGTGCATCCACCTGTTGGCTTGCTTTGTTCTCTGCCTTCCTTCACTGGGGTGGACAGGGGGTGAGCCAAAAGGAATCCTGAAACCCCATTGCTATCTCCAGTTAATGATTCAAGATAAGAAATGGGATTCCTCTCCCCACTCACCTCCATGGGTCAAGGCCTTTGCAATGGAAGTGGGCAGGGATCCTCCACAGGCCAGATTAGGCCTGTATCCTGGCAGTTTCCTATCCCTAATCTAGGAACATTTGATACTGCAGCATTGTTTAACCCAACCATGTAGGTCTTGAGCTGTTCCTTGGATGGGAGGTCCTTGGGAGCCTCATGTAAGAGACATCTGTGTTTATTTCGATGACAAGCACTACTCAAACTATTTTAGCAGCTGAATGAACATGCAGTAAGTGCAGTGTTCCTCTCACACTTTATTGTATTCACCAGGCTGATGCTAAAAAGCCAATGATTTAGAGCAATATTGTTCATTGTGATGCCAATATTATTTTTTAAATATATACCTTACCTTTACTCTAAAGAGCTCAAGACAACGTACTTGTTTCCAAACCCCCCATTTTAAAAGAAATTCTTACAAAACATCCCATGAAATAGATTTGAGAGTGGCGGGGGGGGGGGGGGAGAAAGCAGCAGGTTGCCTCTAGATCATCTTGGGATGCAGTAGCTGGGATCTGAACTTGGCTCTAATTGCTCTCTGACACTCTAAGCACCATACCTCACTGGCCTCTCTCATGCCGGAATGGTCATATGACATCACAGAGCTGTATTAACAGCTACATGCAAAGGATTCCCTGAATACAGAGTGGGATTGTCAATTCCAAAGGTGGGATTCTTATTGATGTGGGCTGTCAGGCTTCTAATAAACAGGTATCTCCTGGCCCTTTCCACTTCCCAACTAGAAATAAAAATCAGCTCCCATTTCAGCTAAACCTAAAACACATTGACTCATGAATGGAGGGAGGAATTTGCTAAACCACATGAACAGAGCAGTAGATTTGTTTCCACATGTCCCTTGGGGCTGTAGGAGAGGATTCTAGTCATGGTTGCAATCTTATGCACACTTGCTTACTTGAAAGTAACACCACCAGAGCACAGAGGGACTTTTCTGAAACCTGCCAGCTGTTAATTATGGGAACTGCAGTCAAACATATAAGGAAGGCACCAGGCTGGAAAAGATGGTACTGACAAATTTCTACTTCCCCTCCAAATTTAAAAAAACAACAACAAAATAAATATCACATCTTCTGTTCCCCCTGCAAAGGCTATAATTTCCTGGCTTTAATGAAAAACGCTGCAAGTAGGAGATGGAAATTGCTATCCTCAGAAATGCTTTTTCATTCTGCTTTGAAAGAAAACACACTACTGAAACTGGAATTGCCCATAATGAAAGTGTCTTGGCCTGCAGAGTATACAAAGATTTAATCCTGGTGGACCTACTCAAATGGATCACTTCTCAATTATGGTAAAAGGAACAATGGTCTCTGATGTTTGAGTGTGTGGAAAATAGATTTTGCAAGTTTTTGGAAAAGCCAGTTACGCATGGCGCTCACTGGGCAGCATCTTTCCCTTCCCATAGAATTTTGCAAAAAATGCGGCTTTTAAAAAGGGGACAAATATGGTCCTATACAAAAATAAAAATGTCTCCTATTTCAGTATTTTCTTTGGATTCAGCATATATTAGCTTGCATGAATCTCCAAATATAACGTAGCCATAAAATAAAATCGGTAGGATCAAAAAATCATAATAGTTTTACAGTTGCTCCTACTTTTCACCGCAGCCTCTTTTAGCCTTTGAAAAGTCACTTCATGAATTTACAAAACTTCTGAGTGATATCTAGTGTAACACTTGGAAGAGAACAGGCAGGCCCATAGATAATAAAAGTACTTTTATCACATGTGCATTAGACCCTGGATTTCCCAGAAAGTCACATTAGGAACCAAATATATATGGCCTTTGTTGCTGTGGAAGCATGCACATTTATTTTTAAAAGTCCTCTCATCAATGTAGTTTAGAGATATTTCTCTCTTTTCTACATATGGGATACTTCAAGTGCAGCTGTTGAGTGTCATGGCAACAGCTACTTCCATGCCATATTAGCAACATAATCATGCAGAGAAATCTGTGTAAATCACCATCAGAGCTTTTGTAGGCAACTTTCTAAAAAGGCAGAATGAGCAACCATGCAGTTTCCACTCAATGTAATTAATTGGCAGCCATAGCATTTGATTATTTACCTTCAGTGCCAGACTCTGAAGCAGGAGAATATTTTTCTTTCTCCTTCTTTTCATTTATACTTCAGAATTCTGAGTACGTGGCTTATACCACAAAGGGATAAAATACTACCCAAAGAGATAACAATATGATCAATTTTGTGTTTGTGTACTTTTAAAATCTGGACTTACAGAAAAATATATATGACAGTTTGTATCCTTTAAATTTAAAATGTGGCAGGTTGTTGTTGAAGTTCAAGAAGGTGTGGGGAAGCAACAGTCTATATATCCCCTTGGGAACTTTCTTTAGTGCAAACTAAAACAAACCAGTAATCAGACCTACTGCATAATACTTTCAAATTGGGTGCAGTGACTACTGTTCAAATGTCATGTTTAAGTGAGAAAATCTTTTCAGCATCCAAAAGACCCTGACAGAACTTAATGGCTATTATAGCTAGGAAAATGATACCTGGGAACAAGCTGTGTCCTGGCAAGGCCCATTATTAAGAAAAGGGACAGTAAATCTATTTCACCTCAGGTAGGAAGGTAGAGTATTTTCCATTCTTATAATGGCAATATATGGTCAAAGTGAGGTTTTTCATACATCCAACTGATTTTGAGTATATGGGACATTATGGTGGCTGATTCAAGGCTATAACATGAGGAGTCAGTGTAGGGGGAGAAAAATGTACTGCTGGACATGGTTTTGGGTTGTGGCAATCCTCTAACTGGCACTCAGAGAGATTCTAGAGCTATTGATACTTGAATCAAATAAAGCCCAGAGGGAGTATCTGCTGCAGGAGAGGGAAGAAGACAATGAGCAATGCACTCTACTCATACTCAGAGGTGTCTTTTTTCTTTTAAAAATCCTTCACATAACACAGATCAGATTCTCAGTAAAACAGGCAGGGATACATTCTGGCTCAAATTAGGACAAACAAGAGGGTCCTAGTTCAAATCAAGCCTGAGCTTTCCCTAGAAGCAAAGGTGACAAAACTGAGGCTGTCCTACTTTGGGCACATCATGAGAAAGCAATATTCCCTGAAGACAATCGTGTTAGGGGAGTCGACAGCAGAAGATGAAAGGGAAGCCCAAACACGAGATAGATTGAATCCAAAGAGAAGCCACTGCCTTGAACTTGGAAGAACTGAAAGGAGCTATCACGAATGGGACATTTCGGAGGGCTTTCATTCTTAAGTGGTCATAAATTTATTTATTATTTATTTATTTAAAACATTTTTATGCCGCCCCCATCGCAACGGAGCCTCGGGGCGGCTCACAACAGAAACTGGACTCGACAGCGCATGACACACGCCAAGCCCCGTCTGTAGGAAAGGGAGACGAGCAGGAGGATGCACCCTTCACGTGTCCACCAGCATCCTCCCGTTTCATTAAGTGAACCCCTTCCTTCCTCGAAAGGGAGGGAAACAAACACGCTTCTCTCCTCCTCCATCTCACGACAACCCTGTAAAGCGCCGGGGTTTGAACGCGGCAACCGCTGCCCCCCGCATGTTCCACGCCCGACCACCGACTCGCCCAAAGAGGTTCGGGGGCTCCAACAGCTCCGCCGGCCTCCGTTCCACTCGGGCGCCGGCGATGCGCCTGCCGGAGGTCCTCCGCGTCCCGCTCCAGAGGCGCCCGAAGGTTCTGCCGACGGCGGAGGCGCATGAGCGGGGGGCGCCGCGTGGGGGCGGCAGGCGCCGGTGGTCGCTTGCCCGCTTGCCCCGCTCCTCGGAGGCCATGTCTCGGGACACGGGCGCCGGTCTCCCCTCCCCCTCCCCCTCGCCCACCTCCTCCTCTCACTCCCGCAGAGTCTGCCTCGAGAGCCCTTCTTTCCGCGCGCCATTCTCGGAGGATCACTTTCTGGCCGTTTGCCGCGAGGTGGCCAAGTCGAGGGAGGCAGCCACCGGATCCTGGCAGCTCATGGCCGACTCCGCGGGCTTCAGCATCTACCGGATGCTCGACGAGGTGCGAGGGCCGCAGCGCTGGGAGAGACCGAGCGAGGCCTACCCAGCGCCTCAGGGGGAGCCGCCGCGTCGCCGTAGCAACCGGGGCAGGAAACGGGCCGAGCAGCGGGGGGCTGAGCGCGTGCCCGTTGTCGCAGAGGCGCCAGAGGTGCTCTGGGAGCGCGCAGGGGCGCTTTCATTAATTAGCTTACTATTTGCTCCCCCCTCCTTTTTTAAATTTCTCTTTGCCTCCAAGAAAAGTGCATGGCGGCGCCTTTGTCACCCTCCTTTTAAAACAATTTCATTATTTTTCATAAAATGAAGCAGAACCAAAATAACTGTTCAAAACGCAGTTTCCAGAGGGATAGTCGTAGTGGTCTGTTGCTGAGAAAGCAACTGAGATTATTGTGGAGGCTTGAGTCCAAACACATTTATTGCTGGACATGCACATGGGAGGCATGTCATGAGCAGAGCCAGCTGGAGCCGGGGGTCAGACTAGATGGCCCTGGAGACCCTTCTGACTCACTGTTTCTATGTCATTCAGGCAGATGGAAAGGCTTTCATTCAGGCTTGCACCTTTCCTTTGAAAAATTATCGAAGCTTCTGCCATCTCTTCTGATAGTATTTGATTGGGGGGGTGGGTTCCTTTTTCTTTTTTTATCATGCAGCAGGATGCATCACCTGACTACTCACAGTTCACCACTGTGCAGGACAGGAAGATATGTAGCAAGCATCACTTTCTCTGACATAAAGATGCAACGATAGAGGAATTCCTACAACAAAAGGCCTTTCTGGGAAGGAAAACAACAGCAACCTCACAGTAGTGTAAGAGTGGAATCTTGTATGAGATTGTTAACTGCACTAAGCCATCCTTAGGGGTAGAGAGTGAAGCATAGCCGTTGGGGCCATGTAAGGGACAGCTGCACCCTAGAGATTTAAGAGCAGTTAGGATATGGGTGTTTCAAACGGGAGACCTAAAATGGGGATTGGCAGCTTCCTGTAGAGTACGGATCAGCAACAGGTAGCCCAGTGGCCAGCGCAGGCCCTGAGGGATATCACCTGCTTCCCTTTCCTTCTGTTGCTAGAACTGAGAGGTGTGTGGCACTGGTTGCTGTGACTCTGGAACTTGCTTTTGCTAGGGATTGTCATTTCCACTCCCTTCTTAGAGTGATCTTCCACTAAATCTCCTTGTGACTAGATAGTTTATGAACTGTGAGAGAGTAGCTTTTGGTAAATCGTTCCTTCTCAGTTTTTCATATGTAAATAGAACAATGGAGACCTGCCCCATGAGATTGATTATGGATTTCACTGTTGAATAGTTCCGTTGTAATTATATGTTGGCTGACTGGTGCTTGAGAGGTAGGCCCATTTTTCATAGATATTCTGCTTCTGTCATCCCATCCCTCAAGGCCCTGGGGGCCTCATGAACTCATGGCTTCTATTTTCTTTTAGTTTTCCACTTCACAAACCTGAAAGTGAGTGCTAACAGCTGGACTTTGTCTTGTTTAAGCATGTGGGTGCATGACAGTTTTCTGTTTTTCTTTCCCCTACTCCTTTTCACTGAGAGAAATTGACTAGGACAAAGTTTGGAAACCTGTGTGGATCTAATCCTTGTGTAAAGTTTGGCTTGTTTGAATCATCCTTGAGAGGGTCAGGGAGGTGGGCAGGATGCCCAGAGTACAGCCATAAGCAGAGTTTTCTTTTTCTCTCCCTTGCTATGCAGATTATGACCTTGGAAACTGTAAGTAAAGAGCTCCCACAGCCTTTCCACTCTTTTCATTCCCTGCAGAGCTGCTGGAAAAAAAATGATTGGGGGAAAAAACCAACCAAAATCTTTCCCCAAACAAACAAACATTCTCCCCAAAGTCTAAAGTTTCTTTCAAAAAATTGCTTTTTAAGGAGGGTTATGTTTACCACACGTTTGTGTTTGAATGTCTATCTTTATAATATCTTGCCATGGGCATTTATCTTTTCCTGGAAACAAAAACAAAACAATACTGTATGTCTTGACCACGTTGGGCAAGTGAGAAATTAACATTTCTGAGATCTCATTGCTCTATATAGTAGAGTTTTAAAATCAAATTTTATTTAAATGCTTCTATCATCCTGTCTTAAAGGCACAAAAGAAACATTTGAAAAACATTTTCAGTACTTTGTTATGAAGAACAGAGAAGCGCAAGAAAAATTATTCACCAAAAATATCCAATTCTATGTTTCCATTTCAGTATCTCAGCTCTTCCCTAGAGATATTCTTTTTAACTTTTTGACTTTGCACCAATGCAGACAGATCTTTTTCACATTCTAGTCATCTGTCATAGGGATGGCTATATATATTGGAATGTATATCAGTATCTAGAAAACTGAGTGGCCCACAAGAATATAGATATTGGCCATTTCTGCTTTAATGCGTGATATTTATTTATTTTATTTATTAATTAAAACATTTCTATGCCGCCCCATTCGCCGAAGCCTCGGGGCGGCTCACAACATAATATAATACAAAAATAACAATATAAAACTAACAATATAAAATAAATAACAATATAAAAGATTTGATTCAGCAGGGCTTCTTGAATGCTCACTATCTTTTGACTTTCTCAAGACCCCTCTCTACTGGAACCTCTTCTTCAGATCAAACCAAGTCATCACTTTGTGTTCCCTATTGTCATTAGGGAGTGTGGCCAGTTTACTTCTGCCTTCCATTCCCAATCACTTTACTCAGGGAAATCTTCTGAAAACACCATCATGCAGGGTCATGCATTGTATACATGTTCAGTGGAGCTAATTCTGAGTGCATTTAGGATTTTATCCTCAATTATTCTATATGTGTGCTAAGTCCCTGTAAAATGAGTCCCATATAAAAATGCACAAAATCTTTTTAGTGAAGCACCTTTCTCTTGACTTCCCATGGTCTTGAGTGTTTGCTGGAAGCACCATAAATCCTTGTATAGTGGGCAGGGTCAAACCATGCTGTGGTTATGTTAGCATAACATCCAAGCCTTTTGAACAGGGTAGGTGAAGTCAGTTGGCTAAGTAATAAAGAGTGACATTGCTGGCTCACTAGGGAGAAACTCCAGCATTGGGCCATCATACTTTGACTGCACTCCCTCTGCATCTCTTTGACTGTTGGAATAATTGTGGTTTATACATACCAGCTCAAAAAGAACACATCCTCTCAAATCAATAGCAGAAACAGCTCACCCAAATTTTGGTCCCTCAACTAAATTTTTTACTATACAATTGTGTATAAAACATCATTTTAAAATCAATAATTACAATCAAATGCCATTTTATCCATTGACTTGCCTCTTCACTTCTGCTTCTCTGGTACAAACCTGGCATTCTAGTCATTACAACCAGCTGATGCTTTAGATCATATTAAATTATGAGGGTATATTTCTTAAGCTTAAAATTATCTTGCAGGCTCATCAGTTGTCACATGCTTATTCCAACATATAAACACACACACACACACACACTTGTTATATGAAATTTTATGAACTTGACTCAAACTAACAACTGGACTAGGGCCCCATACAGGTGACCAAAACCACAACCATGTGTAAAGGAACCACTGGTATATTTTTTCTTGTTATTGAATCCGGATGGGTGATGCTATGAACTGGCTAGCTGAAATTAGAATGGAACAATGTGCACCTATATCAAATCTTGTTTTTAAAACAGGGATTACCTTAAAAAAAGTGTTAATGGGTCTTGGGATTGGCACAGAATGAAAACTGAGGAATCCTGCTTTCCTGTGAAGAGTTATACCTTCCCATATGTGAAAAACAGATCACGTTCCCTTCAGGTGATGATCCCTGAACTCCTGGTCAGGGATGAGTCAGTTCATGTCATTACAAGAAATATAACCACACTTCTTACATAATGAGATGATCCCTAAATGCGTAGGTGGAAGTTATAAATATTAGTGGAGGTGGTGTGACAACATGTCCAGGAGGTGGCAACTATGCCACTGGCTGTTGGTGGAACCAAAAATGCCATTTCTTTCCATAATATTATTAGATACAGCAAGACAAAATCTTTGTGTCTTTAATTCATTTCACCCTTGTACAATATCGGTATGTCTGAGGAGAACTCTTAGGTCTGTCAGTCCAGATTTCATACTACTTCCGTTTTAGGATGGACAGCTGGCTAACTCAGCAGGGCATTCTGCCTTGAAATACTGAAGCCCTGCTGGTTTACTGGCCAAGAGGAAACTTTGTGGGCTGCCTGTGGTCAGAGACAGCATGATTCAAACAGCTGGCAGAAATGCCTGGAAGTAAAGTCTAATGTAGGCAGGAAGCCCAATTCTCCACTAACCGAAGTGCTATCAAAATTGGCACATGTGCTGGTGGAATGCTTGAAGCCTCTGTCGTTTTGATGAGTGTCCTGTGATCCTTTTGGATAGACAGAGTACCAATACAGATAACTGGAGTTTGGAAGTGATCTGGTTTTAAAAGCTATGTTAGCTGGTCATAATGTAGCCCAGTCAGCAAATGCTGACACGGATGAAGAATAATTTTACAAGAGGCTTAACGCCTTTTTTGTTTAGGTCACTTTGTAATGCAAATACAAAAGCTACATTGGTCAGAATACTTTTTCAAAGAGTGAACTCTCTCCCAGGTTAACAGCAATCACATACACAAGAGAGGCTTCAAGGGTTATTTAAGTATCACATGTAAAGCATGTAGGCAGTCTGATTGTTCAAAGATTGAAACTTGAGTTTTATCCTGCAAATTAAAAATACAAAGTAGCACACTTTATTTACATTTACATAAAAGTTTTTTTTCACAAAACAGATCTTACCAGTAAAAGATATTTGTAAGTGGCTAAAGTTCAACAGAATATTAGTAGATAGTGCAGTGGAATCCATCCAGTAATTTGAAATTATGTTCAATAGTTCAGGCTTATAACTTTTCTGTTCACATGTGAACTTCATTTTAATTGGTATGCTTTGCTAATTCTCTGGCAAACAGCCACTTTTTATTGATGTGGCATGTAGAAGTGTATTGCTGATTTACCACGTGCATCATTATATTTTGTGGACAGCAAGAAAATATGAAGACTGAAGAATCCAAGTTCTGCAGGGCTGGTGAGGATCATAAATACTAGGGTATTAGAATTTCCCTTCCCCACAAAATCACTCCAATCAAAAAATGCTTTTCTATTCTTCCTGGGAAGAACACAAAGAGCAGCAATCAGGTATTAGCCTGGAACTGACAAACTGGGGGTGGGGCCGGGGGGGGGGCTGTGGTAGGAAAAGGGAAATCAGCCCAGTTGGCTTCTCTGCCACTGCCACAGGATGGTCATCTTCACATTCCCAAATCTCAGAGTACTCTCACTTCCCAATTCCCAGAAGTACTGGGCAGAATGGTGAGGTGGAGCTCTTTCCTTGCTGCTAAAATGATCTCAAGGGAGGGAACTTTGGAGAATCCTCTGATTCCAATCCGTGCTATTTCCTCTGTGAATATTCATGGGTTTCCACTTTAGGGTACTGAAGTTTTTTTTTATCCCTCACAGTCATAGCTAAAAACCAAGAAAATACATTGAGTAACTTGCAACATTCAAATGCAGAGGAGAATTTGGTTTACCATCAGAGCACTGTGCATTATTCTTTAATGTGAATTCAGACCAACAATTTAAATAGAAGGAAATAATCTGTTCCACAGTTGTGTTTGGATATACAGACAATTACTTCAGAGTTATATAAATACATTGGGCTATTAATGCTCTTATACCTTTGCTATGGTTGTTGTTAGGGTCAACTGTACAATGATTCTGGGTGGATTTACCTGGTCCACTGCACCTTGTAGAATAAATGGAAGTCTTTGTTATAAAGAGTATAATTCTCGGTATAAAGAGTTTAGTATATTATCTTTGTTGAGAAGGTGTATTGCATATATCTTATTCTGTTGCTGTGCCATTTATAAAAAGTGGAGGGGGGAGGATACAAGTGTCCATCAGGATGGTGTGTACTGCCAAGAACATGCTGGAACAGTAGCACAAATCTGATGGTTGTACTTAGTGCTAATGGTGAGGACAATATAAATGTTTATTGCAAGTCAGGCATCATTATTCTGAAGGTCTTGCTCTTAAGAATGACTAATGAAATATATTTTGATGCCTCCATAAGCATCCGGATATTTAGCATTCATTAACTTAGGCAAGCAAGTCTGATAGCTGCTCTTGGCTCATGCCCAGAGCCTGATTAATTTAGTCCCATAATCAGTGTTGATGAGAAACTTTCTTTCCTCCCTGATGGCTAAACTCTACTTAAGACCTTCCCTGCTTTGATTGCTGTTAAGCTTCACTTTCACACTGGGATAGGAGCAGGGAAGGTATACACCATGGGAGTAGACACTTGCTCCAGAATAACACTTGGCGATTACCAGCTGATTGAGGCAGTGCTTGATTCCGCCAAGTTCTTGCCATCCTTTTAAGTAGCCAATCGGAGGACAGTGTGTCAGGACCTGCAACAGGAGACTTTTCCTTGCCACCCCTGCAGTAGTGCCCCAGTTGAAAGAATGTACATGGGCTCAAGAGCATTTTTGTTTCAAATGGTTCCCAAAGAGAACACGTAATTAGTGAGCCATTCAGTTCCTTTGGGGTGAGTGGATTGGGGTCAGTCATAGTTACACAGTGTAACAACGTCACATGCTCATATAACTAATACGGAATGGGTTTGTAGAATTACCAGATTTGAAAAACCCAGTCATGTTTAAGCAGATTATAGACACCTCTGGGACAGAAGATTAGAAATGAAAACTGAAAGGTTTAAGAGCTCTGAGAAGTGTCCCTGAGTTGTACCGGAAAGAAAAAGCAAGCTTTGCCTACTAGCTATGTTCAGCCATCAAGAAGACTGTAACTAAAGAAATGTATGCCACTTGAGTAATTGTAGTGCAAATCTTTAAGTCTATACCAATTGCTTCATAGCAGTGGAAACTCTTTCATGCTGGTGGGAGATGTGGGATCATACAAACTTAGGCCAGCTGTGCTTTTGTTTTTGTTAAATTCCTTGATTGGAAAAAAGCACACAAACCATGAACACTTCAAGATTTTGCTTTCTGTTATGTTTCAAAGCTGTATGGCTTTGTTTGCCTTGCACAAATGCAAATTTTGGTTCCATGTTCTCGTAACACTGGAAAATAGATAGTCTGATGAAGAGATATGGTAAGTCCTGTAAACTAATACCTGGAAAGCATCTGTCTGGATAGATGCAATACAGGCTATTCCTACAAAGTTCTGAGTTAAGGAGCAGTCTTTTAAGCAGTCTTTTAAATAAGGGAGATTCCTTAACATAAGAGACTTTGGGGGACTTTATGAAGGGTAAAACATTTCAGGACTCACTGGTACGTATTTTATCTTTGCAAAAATGGGCTCACAGGGGCATAAGCTTGCGTAGAAATATATTTCCATTGTCAGAATGAGTTTTTGAAGTGAAATGGATGAACAGCTGAAATGGATGAACAGCAAAACCTGCTGGTCCAAGAAGTCCAAACGGGTTGGGCTAATTTCCCACTTTACATATTCTTTGTTGTTTACTACAAAAGCACACATGGTTTACATAGTGTCTAGCTCTGCTGGTTGACAAAATATCCTGCATAGCATTTTCACCATAAGATGATACTGGTATTGCTAGGAATTGATCAATTGATTGGCAAGGTCATACCATGTTTAATGAGCAACCCTTCCCTCCTTCCCCTTGAAGCCCCCGTCTGCCTCCCTAATCTAGACAGAGCGTAATGCAAAGTGTGATGGTATCTATTCTGCGGGTGGAAGGATAATATTGGATCCAAGCCATTGTCTCAAATCTTTAAGAGCAACAACATGCTCTTATAACAGCTGGTTATATATAAAAGGGATTCTGTTTTAGCTAAAGAGCTGATAAAGTTATCATTACATTTTAAGTAATACTTTTTAAATTAAACAGAGAAATCTGTGGCCTTGAAGAAAGACTTGCAAGTTTTGTCAAACTGCCCTGTCCAGTGGAAGATATACCACTGGAAGAGCAAATTACCTCTTCCTCCTGCAGCTTCTCCCACATACCCTAATTTGAAGCAGATTTGAAGGGGCACAGAAATGTCAAGGGAGAGGTGAGGAAAAAGGAAATCCACTTGGATAATGTTGGCTGTAAACCTACATGTTTTAAGGTAGTCTCCCAGAGAGTAATCTAGTTCATATGGATCAATTTATTCCTCAACACAAAGCTTACAGAGCTCTATCTTTGTATTTGAACTGTTAATGGACATGAGTTTCCTTTGGTATATTAGCAGAATGGTGTAGCTTTAGTCACTGAGTGTTACCAGGCAAATGTCCAAACATTTGAGTAGAGTGCTATAGATTCTCTCTTGTTTTCTCCCTCTACTTCTGCTTTTTCAGAAATCTGGACTATACGAGTACAAAGTATACAGCTACCTTTCTGATTGTTCCCCAGAGCTATGTGCTGATGTTTACATGGATTTAAACTACAGAAAAAAATGGGACCAGTATCTTAGAGGTTAGTATATAAGTCATCAGAAAGTCATTAGGAAAAATAGAGTTTAATTTTCTTAGTTCTCTTTGACTTCTTCCCTTGACCATTGCCATTTCTAAGGTAGTTTCAGGTTACTATTGCAAGTGAGCAGCACCTTTTAAAAAATACAATACCAAGTAGACTTTTTCTTCACCAAAGCATACATGTGGCTTGAAAATCCATTGCATTTCTCTTGTTATGGTCATTCATTTGTATCTGATGCCTTGAAATATTGATAAAAAACTAAATGCCAATTTCTGACCATCCATTGCTTGTCTAAAACCTGATTCTTCAACACTGTTCTCATGCTGATTTATGGGAAAACAGACATCATTGCTTGCAGTACTTTCTTCACTATCCATGTGATGTCAAGGAAGTGACAGACCTGCTATCTGTACTCTCATAACAATTTTTGTTAGTCTACCTCTAGCTTCAGACTAGAGGAAACTCCATCACTTTTGTTCATCATAGTTTGTCCCGTTGTCAGTATAGGAAATGAAGATCCTCCAGATTGTCAGGTCTGGGACTTGGGTGGTAAGTGTATACAGTTGGTACACCAGGGCCAGAAATGATGGAAATCATAGCAAAATGCAGGAGGACCAAAGGAAAAGACAAAGTCAGGAACAAGCAAGGTCAGAAACCAACAAGGCATGGCAGTTCCAAAAGGAAAAAAAGGATCAGGAATAGGTAAAGGTCAGATACAAATAAGGTATAGCAGGTCCAGAGGCAAGGGCAAGGACAAAAGCAGTTAAGATCAGATACCAACAATTTGTGACAGAACCAGAGGCAAACTGAAGTAAAATACTAGCAAGTCAAAATGGACCCAGGAGCAAGGTGAAGACAGTATAGGTACCAGGCATGGTGAGGTCAGGCTGACAGCAGGGAGCAAAGCAGGAGTGAGAACACCACAAGCCCTCAACTGGTATGGCAAAGTAGAGCAGGGAAGCTTTTTGTGGGGCCTTCTGGAGCTCCCAGCTGTGCTGGGTGATTACACAGAGTCCAATCCTTGCAAGTACCTACTGGCAGGCTCCTGATCCTGCAGGAACTTGCAGGGTGAATGGTGCTGCCTGTCACCAAGAGAGCTGTGTTAAGGCTTCTGATGCTGGCACAGATTAGAGATGTGAAATGCCCCTGCACATTTCTCCTGTGCTACTGAAACTTTTCTAACTTCATGTTCAGTTGTAAACTGCCCAGAGAGCTTCAGCTATTGGGCAGTATACAAAGCATACAAACAAGCAAGCAAATAAATAATTCCCTCAAAACTTCTCACATATTTTAATCTGAGCAGGGGCCTCCAAGTTTCCCTTCAGGGGAAATTCAGTGGCCGCTTGCTAGTATGGATCAGCTGAGAAATAAAATGTCCTATTAGAACTCATAACATTCCGTGAAATTCCTCACCTAAGCCTGGACTTACAGATTTCCCTTTATGTTACACTACATAACTAATGCAACAAACATCTCTCTGAGGCGAAATAGCTCAGTTGTATTTTATTTATTTATTTATAACATTTCTATGCCGCGCCCATTGCCAAAACCTTGGGGCGGCTCACATAGAACATAGAATTTTGTTACCCATTCTGTGCTTATATTTGTTTTAAAGGAGTGATAATAGTTTCACACCTCGGAAGAGTCTTTGGAAGCTTTGTTAGTCCAGAATGAAGCAAAATGGTAGGTGGCTTCATGCCCATGGCATCATGGTTGTTCTGTCCCAGCTATAGGTGGTTGAAGTCCCATCAGTAAGGGTGTTCAAGGGTAGGCTGGAAATGCCCATGGGAGGCATGTCAGGAGCGGAGCTGGCTGGAGCCAGGGGTCAGACTAGATGGCTTGGAAGGCTCCTTCTGACTCACTCCGTTTCTATGTTTCTATACTTTTGGCCTGTTTGCTGTCTGGACTAAATAAAATGTTGGTGATGGTCTTTAAACTCCTAAATGGTTTCAGTTCAGAACACTTAAAATATTGTCTTGCTTGCTTTTTTGGTCTGTTAACCCATTCCTTCCCATCAAAAGTTGTGGGAGGGAATTAACCTACATAATTACATTAAATTTATACCCTGCCTTATTATCCCTTTTGTGAGGAACCCAAGGCAGATTATGCAGCTCCATTTTATGTTCACAGGAACCCTATGAGGAGGTTAGGCTGCGATTACTGGCCCAAAGTCACCCAGATCTGTAGGTCCCTTAACCACCACACTATCATATAAATAGAAAACCATCAAAATACCCATACACACCTACACCCTAAACTTTGAAGAAATGGTCTGTCTCCCATGCCCAGTTTTTTTTTTTAAATGACAGTCTCTCCATGTAAATCACAATAGATGGGGGGAAAGAGAGGGTTGGAATTCTTTCTGGTTACAGCCCTTCATGTCTCGCTGGTGTGGTTCTCAAGGTTCTCTAGTCTGAGAGGGCGTTATGGGAAGTGGAAGGATACATCCAGAAGGGTGGAGCTCATGTGCCCCCATGTGCCTACTCATGCCCCCTGCTCCACGTTTTTTCTCACTTCTTGTAACCCAAACAGACTGCCTTTGAGCAGTCTCTGTTCCTGAGAGTGAGTTTGGAAAGGATGTTGACAAGCATTTTTCAAACAGCAATTTAAATTAAAGGCAAAGAGCAAAGATTAAAGCTAATAGGTACACCAGAGGTTTTATGATAGGAAGCAGGTTGTAGAGTCAAAAAAACTGCATATATCAGAGACATGTTAACTGGCAACCCATCCTCACTTTCCTTGATTCCTCCCCAATCCATGGGCAGCACAAAAAGAGGCTGGTTTTGATAGGATTGCCTTAAACTGGCATGCCTTATCAAATGGAATGGTATAGATTTTAATTCTTTTGAGAAAAAAAACCCTAACAAATGTTAAAATGAAGCCCTCAGTAATTTGAGGAGGGGAACATTGTATTGTCCATTAAATTGGATTTGTCAAACATGGCTCTTTTCTTTGGTCTTTACATTTGAGTGTGATTTCTCTCACAGAATAAGGCAGAGTAAATGATATAGGATGTCCAATGGCACCAAGTTAATACTCCAGTGACCTCTGGTGGAAAATGCAATATTCTAAGGTGTCTTATGGCATTCTGACTACATTTCCTTCTACTAGCTAGTTGGAATTACATAAAATCCTGTGAAAAGAAGATATTCCAGGTTAGCAACTTGTTGTTAGACCCCTTGATTGGCTTCTTGACATGTGCGCTGGAGCAGACCGTCCCTCATATAGCCATTCCCACATAACCTGAGAAAAAGCATGCCAAATGTCCTTTATTAATTTATGGATGGCCTGGCATAACTGCTAAGGACATATATTTTTAATTAGAAGGAAAGATACTCTAAGGCCTTCCACATGGCTGGAAGTTGAAGTCTAGCACATCTGGAGGACACCATGCCGGGGACCATTCCATATGAACTTCCCCAGCCTTGGAGATGTATGTATGAGGGCTCCTATTCAAGAAGTAATATCTGTGGTTGGTTAGGATAGTCCTTCTCCGTGCTAGCGCTGTAGGTTAAGAACATTCTACTCCAATGTAGGCCCAGCATTTTCTCCTTTCCCTATAAATCTTGGCAGTGTACACTTCTGCCAAGGTCTTTTGCTGTTGTAAGCCTGGGCAAAAACTGGAAAAGCACCAAACAATTTGTGGTTGAGAGGAAAGGCGTGAGAGCAGGGGAAGGGGTATGGCTCTTGTGGAATTCCGGAAGGTCAGGCTAAAACCCAAGGAAGAATGGATTTAGCCTCCTAGGTCTGGGGTTTCCTGCCTCTGCTTTGCTTGTTTGATGACTCTGTATGCGTGATGTATATGCATTACATTTGATTAGCAGGATCACAGAACTATATGCACTGGATATTTCAAATGTTTATAATAATTCTGTAGAATCAATCAATCTATCTATATGTAGCATGTACACTTTAGATTAGAGAGATAGATTAGTCTTCTTGCATCCATAGTTATATAATGTGGGCTGAAACAGAAGACAGAAATGGTCACGTTTACAGATGCTGAGCCTTCCCAAAAGAAATCGCCAAACAAATCCAATTTGATCTTTTAAATGTGGTATTACAACATATTAAAAAAATGTGGCTGTTGCAGAAAACATGAGTCCTGCATCTCTTCCCCTTTCCCTCCATTAATGTATATGAAAGGGAATGCAAGATGCAAATTTGCACTCCAAGTTTACTTGCTGCCATTACTGGAGCAGAAAGACAGAAGAAAATGCAGGGCTGAATGGCAGCTATTGCAACATACCATATGGTGCCATGTGTGTGCATGCGTACATTTGTGTATGCCTTAAGCCAGGAGTCACAAGAGTCAGCTTCTGGATCTTTCCCTCTTGCACCACCAGCTCTGTTCCCATGGGTAGACTGAACTTTTTGCTTCAAAAATGTCATCTAATATGTAGTGTAGTTTAATATAGTATAGAGCCTCCAGGAGCCAAGAAAGCATGCTTCTTAGTCTGAGGAATTCATCTTGGGTGTGAGAACCCTTCCTAAACTTCTGTTCCTTTACATGACCTGGATTTTGGCCTCTGTCTGGTATTAGCTACTCACCAGCCTCTGGCCTACTTTGACTGACAGCCAGCTCCTCTGGGTCCTGGAAAATTAGTGCCTGGAGTCTGACCTGACCACTGCTAGGGCCCGATAAATACACAGGATCTGTATGCGACTTCTGTCACACATTTAATTAACCAATGCTTGACAGTCCTTACAGTGTATATGTAAGTTCAGTTATATAATACACTGTGTGCATCTAACACATTTCCCTTCCAATTTATAGAAATGTGTGAGAAAAATCTTGATGGCAGAACAGTTATCTACTGGGAATTGAAGTTCCCTTTCCCCTTGGCAAATAGAGATGTATCCTTTCAAGTCTTGGATTGGAGTTTTATGTCTAGCATTTGCAGCTGCAAACCCTGACATGATTTTCAGTTCTTTGCAGCACAGTTCTAACATTTAAGAGATGCACAGTTTAATCGTTAAGGGAAAAGTATGTCATTAATGCATATTGTTGTGAATTATACTGCTTATTATATTTGGAAAGCAAACACAACAAAATAATTTTAATTGGGAAATGTAGGCTTCTTGAGATAGGCATATTCTTTGAATCTATCTTAACCTATATTTTGACTTCATAATATATTTTATATTTTAAAATCCTGATTATTTCTAAACTTCAGTGCAGTATGTTTTTATTCGTGAGCGTCAAGATATGGAAGTTGATGGGGAGAAGATCTATGTTATATTGGCTAAAAGTGTGAGCACTTCTAAATTCCCAGAAAAACCTGGGATTGTTAGAGTAAAGAATTATAAACAGAGTGTGGCCTTTCAAAGTGATGGCAAGAAAGGGACCAAAGGTAAGATATCATTAAATAACTTTATAGGAATGCCTACTTAGAGCAGAAAATTGACATATCTTAGTCAAGATTATGAAAATTTGCCTTTTAAAAATTAAAATTCAATTTATACAGATGGCTGCTAAAAATTATACAAAATAATACTAGGAGAATGCAGCCAATGTTTTTAGCTGGTAAATTCTAATGCACACAATCCCACTGCTCACTTGAACCATCACTGAACCACTCCCATTTATCTGTTTCATTTTGTTCTGCCTCTGCCTCTCCTCCCTCACCTCTTACTTGCCCTTACTGGCACCTCTCCGTCTCAGTCCCCCAGATCACCTCTGTAGTGTTGGTCTGCAGCCACTTTATTTCACTTGCCTCCAGCCTTTTCCCTCAGCATCTTCCTGGTAAGACTTCACTGCGACAACCACAAGATACTTTAGAGTCAGTTTGAATGTAATTCTGTATAAATCATTCTAGAGCCATGTGGATTGTGCATGGGTATTTGCACAAATTTCATTAATGGCAAAAACAACAACAATTGAGCAAAACATCATCCATCTTAGAGACAGAAGGCTGCAAAACAAACTTTGACTTGACACAGTTCCAGTCAAGAAAGCAAGAAATCCATTGAGCATGAATGGGCTCAATTTCTGTGTTCTGGAACCTTTCCTCAAGCCTGAAGCTGAACCCGACCCTTTGGGATAGGTATGCTCCCTAATCATTCAAGCAACAAGCACAAAGGGAGCATTCAAGCTATTCTGGTTCACTGCTGATTATTTCTGACCAGTCAGGTCCTATTCATGCATGGGGAGGTTTTCCTACACCTCCCTCTAACGTGAAACTTAAACCTCAACCATACCACACAGATATAACCCTGATTGATTTAGAGAACCAGCACAAAAGTTGCGTTCATGGAGTTACAACTGACTGCACAGAACTTCCGCTTAACTGAGGCTTCTTCCAGTCTCCTAAAAATGCAAAGAGATCTGGGTTTTCATAACCCTAACCTTAACCTTAAGCCTGACCTTTACACCCAGCTATAATTCCTGCCTATTCAAACAACATGCACAAAAGTAGCATTCAGGGACTTCTTATTCACCACTCACTTTTCTTTTAACTAATTGAGGTTATTTCCAGATCCCCAAACATAAATGTAGACTGAGACTTTCATAAACCCAACCCTAACCTTAATATGAACCCCAACACTGCCATGAAGGTATGATCCATATTCATTTAGAAAAAACACTTAAAGGCAGCATTCAGTGTTTTACAGCTGACCTTTAGAAATAGACAAGGTCCCAGTTTTGTCTAACCCTACCCTGAGCCTAATTCTAATCTTAACCCCAACCATAACCTAAAATTTAACACCAATGTTGGCCCCTCTACACATGCAAAGAGCACAGAAAGAATCATCATCATCCAGGGTGCTTTTGATAACCAGGCAGATGTTCTGACAATTCAAAACTATTTCCATGATCTTATATATGTACACATCTGTGTTTACTTAATCCTAACCCTAACTTCAACTCAATTCCCAAACCTAATATGCCAGTACATTTCCTTCAGAGACCACACCATTCAGGCTGTTCTTCTTGCTTCCTAATTCTTTCTGAGCAATGAAAGCCAGTTGTAGACTTGTGCCCTTTCATAATAGTTCAGATTTTGAAACAACCCCTAACCCCAACTGGAAGCTTAACTGCTCAACTGAAGTGCAGTGATAATCCTTAGACAACACGCACGGAGGCACCATTTAGGCTGATCTTTGTGACTGCTGTCTTTCTTGCCTGTACATTGGTCTACATTTTCCTAATCAGAAGAATAACCCCAACTGTAACCCTAACACTAATCCAAATTTTATTCCCAAATCTAAAGTGCCAGTGTACTCCCTTCAGATTCCATGCACAAAGGCAGCACTCAGGCTGTGTGTTGATCATTTGCTTGTGTTGCCTAAATGACACTGTTTCCAGGGTCTTAAACATGTACATAATGCCTGGTTTTTCCCACCATACTTTAAATTGAAGCTGCAGAATATTTCTACTCTGCAAATAGGATTCTTAGACATTCAGACCTCATATACAATGCTAGTTCCTGAAGCGTTCATTTTTACCTCTCAGTTTCTGGTAAACCAAAGCTCTTTGCAGGGCCCTGGAAATACACGGGGGCCCTGGGTTTTCTAACCCTAACCCTAACCTGAAGCTTAACCTCAAGCCTATATTGCCTGATAATTATTTCACATTTAGCAAATATGCACAGAAGCAGTGTTTTATTTACTGCAAAACCGCTCTGACAAAGAAATAGATTCCTATTTCTTAGAAATCTGACAGGACTCAGGTTTTCCTAACCCCAATGCTAACAAGATCACAAGATGGCAAGAACACAAGTCTGTAGCTTCCGGATCACAAGAACCTATGGATGGTTCTGAAAGAAAAGGGATGCCTCAGCACTGGATAGTTCTAATGTGGATAAGAAGATACTGTTAGGCCAGAATATGGAGAAAGAGAATGGCTTCCCATAGGCAAACACATCAGACAAGGATGTATTTTATCTTCCTATCTGTTCAAGTTATAAGCAGAACATGACATAAAAAGCTGGAATAGAATCAGAGTAAGGAATGAAAATTGGAGGAAGAAACATCAGTAATTTAGGCTATGCAGATTCTACCATACTACTGGCAGAAAGCAGCAGTTAGCTGAAGCGACTCTGCAGTGGCCCAGAGTCCAAGTTCCTGGTGAGTGTGCCCAGGGTTTGTGGGGTGCCTGCCAGGAATCAAGCCTCATGTGCTGTGCAAGCAGTGCTACTTTTCCATGCCCACGAAGTAGGAAAGAAGGCTGGCTGCTGGGAGTCGCAACCAGTGCACCCACTGCTGGCAGCAAGCAGGGAAGAAGGTTAGCCACTGGAAATGGTGGCTGGCTCACCTGCTGTCCGCACCCCTTTCCCCATGTGCCATCACTGCCACCACTGGCAGCAGTGAGCAGGATTCACGAGCATGTGTGCACTTTTGCTTGGCTTGGATGGCTTTGCACGAGTGGTCTGAGTATGAGAGGAAGTCCTTAGATTCTGGAGGGATGGATTCTGAAAGGATTCATCCCAAACCTAAAAATAACCAACAAGTTTCTGCAAAAGTAAGCTTAGTCTTACTAAATGTTAGAATCCTCTGAGTGTATTAACAAGACTGAATGCAACAAGAAACATGTCCCTCACCAAAGATCCCTGAGCAATCTTAGAAATCATGGGATAAAGGAAGAAGTTCTCTTATGGATTGGGAGCTGGTTAAAGATCAGGAAGCAGAGAATAAGACTAAATGGGCAAGGAGGAGTGTAAACAGTGGAGTCCTTGATGAGATGGGTACTTTTCAACTAGATCATAAACTAGTTGGAGCAGGGTAAGCAGTGGTTTGGCTGAGTTTTCTGCCAACACCAAAATTAATTTGGGAGGTTAAAACAATAAGGTATTGTGAAGAACCCCAAAGGGACTTCTCCACACTGAGGAAGGGAATTAAAATGCAAGTGTGATTCAGTACAAAGTGATACACACTGGAGTAACAAGTAAGAACTCGGGCAAAACACACTGACTTCTTATATATGCAGATAGGGCCTTTTTTTCTGGTCATGACTGAACAGGAAAGGTGTAATAGGTTTGAGACGAAGAACTTAATGCAAATGCGCAATGTGTGGCCACTATCAAAAAGGCATATTCCATACTAGGGTTCATTAGGAAAGGAACCGAAAATAAAGCCTTTATACAAATATCTGGGATGACCCACTTGGAATATTGTCAAGAGTTCTGACCACTGCACCTCATGAGGGATACTAAAAAACTGGAAAAGTGGAAATAGGCAACCCAAATGATCAAGTAGTAACTCTATCATTATGATAGTGAAGATTATGAAGTGTAAGTCTTTTATCTTAGGGAAAAAGGGTGAGTAAGGGATGGATATAACAAATACATCTAAAATTATATATGGTGTGGCAAAATGGATAGGGAGAATCTTTCTCATAATATTAGAATCCCAGGTCACCCAGTAAGGCTGAACAATGTGAAATTCAGCAACTGGCAATTTAATTTACTTTTATAAAAGTAAGACTAGAAACATTTATAGTTCTGAAGAGAATCTCCAGGTTTGACTTTTGCTGTAGATATTGTAGTTCATCTGGTGGAGGCAATTATCCTGGATGCATCTTCTGTCAGGTTCTGTCTAACTCGCTTACTACTGGGAAAAATACATTAGCTGTTGGGTGCACCATTTCATGCTGCCCAAAGGGGAAAAAGTGCCTGTGCATTGATTATGATAAAGTGCAGTGACTAAAGTGAAAAGCCACCCCCCTCCCCATTCTGCAGCCATTCTCCAAAGCCTTTTCACTGTGAAAATGGAATTGCAAAGATGTTAAAACTTTTTGGTTTACCTTTTCCAGCACGAATGCAGAATCTTTTCTGCTTTGAGAGTGGTGGCTACCACATGTGTGTGTTTGGGGGTGTGAACACACACATGCATAGTCACATACATCTAATACACATACTTCTAATACATGCATGCCCTCACACCAGCAACAATAAAACTTGGTCTTGCAGCAACAGCATCTGTTCCATGTTACAGCATCAATGTTCTGAAGCCCATCCCTGTCCCAGTCAACCCAAATTTTTCATTTTTCCAACCTGATAGCCAAATCAGAGGAAAAATACTCTAGGAGCAGGCCTTATTGTTACCGTCATGGGAACCTCATTGCAGAGTGTCCTAAGTATTGTAGGAAACAGGCAGGTACCTTCAAGCACAGTTTCCAAGGAAGTTCCAGGTGGGAATAAGGCTTCTGTGGTCCTGTTTCTCTCCACCCACGTTTTTCCTGAAGTGACAGAGTGCCAGCTCTGGTTGCTGCCTGCAGCCTATGGGTTTCATTTTTTAAATGCACTGTTACAGAGAAGGAAGTTCTCTGAATTTTCTACAGAGCTGTCAGGGCAGAATCTATTTTTCAGTTTCACCTTGCCACTTTCAGATCTTCTCCTGAGATGAGATAATGTGTAATTCATTATGAGCCTACCAGCATCTAGCTGTGCAATTCACTGTATAAGTGAACAAAGAATGGGCAAACCTAAGGGGTCAAGAAAAATCATGTGCAAGTTATTCAGAACCCCTGCAGAGTTTCAGTAGATTTCTCATACCTTGGGGGAAAGAAATGGAAATTCCATGGAAATTCCAGAGTACATTCTGTACAAGTCTACTTTTGAATTGCAGCAGTAATAGCAGTCTAGACATTTCGTCTGAAAGTAGATGGGCTAGCAAGAAGCCCACCAAATGGATATAAATAATTTTTCTTTTCATTAAAAAACCTGTGACTGCATTTTGTTTCTTTTTGTTTTAAAAGTTTTCATGTGGTACTTTGATGATCCTGGCGGCAAAGTTCCTCCATGGCTTGTCAACTGGGCAACCAAGGTAAACAGGATGGGAGCCAAATGGTTGGGTCCTACCAATAATTCATTTTCAACTGATGGGATAACTATTATTTTTATTACTAAGTGCTGGAAGAGGAAGAGCCAAGCCTAGAGTAATAAGTCAAACTTCTTTATTTCCTCCCATTCAAACAACCAAGCAGAAGAACGCCAACAATTAGCACAGCTGGATGAGGTTCCCTGTAGAGTGCACCTTCAGCACTTAAAGGCATGGTGGTGGTCCCTGAATGCCCTGCTCAGTGCAGAAAGGGGCTTCATGCTGGATGGTGGTGTGCTGCATACTGGACAACATTTCTGAGGCAAGGGGAGACATTGCTGGAGAACTGACTGGATCAGGTGCTGGAAAAGATGCTGTGGTGGTCAGCATTGGCCCCAACGGCCCCCACATGCCCTCTGACCCACCTACACCCCTGCAGCCAGGTGTGAGCCATGCAAGATCCATGCAGCTATTTCTCAATGGATCTGTGAGATCTATTTAGGCATGGGTGCTAGGCTGCTTTTCAGAAGTGGTCATGGTAGTGACTATAAGACTTCCTGTCCTCCAAAGCCAGTAATCGTAGCGTATTGCTGAACGCAAGCTATGGTGCAGATTTCAGTGAAGGTTGTTGTTGTTGCTAGTCGCGAAGTCGTGTCCGACCCATTGCAACCCCATGGACAACATTCCTCCAGGCCTTCCTGTCCTCCACCATCCCCCGGAGTCCGCTTAAGCTCACGCCAACTGCTTCAGTGACTCCATCTAGCCACCTCATTCTCTGCCATCCCCTTCTTCTTTTGCCATCCATTGTTCCCCGAACCAGGCTCTTCTCCAGGGAGTCCTTCCTTCTCATTAGATGGCCAAAGTATTTGAGTTTCATCTTCAGGATCTGGCTTTCTAAAGAGCAGTCTGGGTTGATCTCCTTGGTGAAGGTAGGGAACAGAAAGTGTAAGGCTGAATCGCAGAAGTAGCAGACCTGTATCCACCCCGGGTATAGTCGTGGTGGGGGAGGCATTAGATTCTGAGCACAACTTTTGGGAAGTGGAGCACGTACACCAGCAGAAGCGTTGAAGAGGAATGTTTGAAGTAGGATACTCTAGTTTCTGTATGATTAAATCTTTTTCAGAAACCAAGGCCCTCTGCAATGCTGCTGAAATAAAAAAGTGCTTTGCTACAGATGCTTCTTTCATGTGGGAAAGCTTTGGTGTGGGATTGAGGGGAGGGATGTGTCCATATCGGCAGAAGGTGGGTGTGATTTCCATGGGGATGTTTTTCTGGGCCAGGGAAAGGGGAGGAAGACTGGCCCTGATGCTGACCACAAGGAATGGGAGGAGACATGAGTGGGAACAGTCAGAAAGCTGGAATGTGGCCAGCAGAGGAGGAGGGAGATACAGCGGCTGGAGAAGAAATTCAAAATGGGGAATAGCTTGAAACGGGGGGGGGGGGGGGGGGTGGGGTGGGGGGGGAGAGGCAGGAATGAGGGAGGGAGGGAGGGGGGATGGGCAGTCAGGGTATTTTTGATGGCATAAATGGAGTGAAAAGAAGGAAAGGGGAAGGTGAGGTTCAGCCAGAGAAGGTGGATTCTGGAGGGTAGTGTCTGTGTGCATGGATATTTCCAAAAGCATCTTGGAGCAATAATGCATGTGTGATGATAAAAGGATGATGCAGCAGGTTGCAGACAGCAGGATGTTAGATAGTTTCACAGAAAGAGACCGGCTTCTGCACCTGATCATGAAGGTGGGGGCAGACATTTTGTTGTGCAGAAGAATCACAGCATGAAATGGTGCTTTCTGTGAGTACATTCATAGAATCATGGAATAGTAGAACTGGGAGGGGCCAGAGGGCTATTGGGTTCACCCTCTTCTTTTTGCAGACTGGAGTACCCAACTTCTTGAAAGACATGCAGAGAGCTTGCCATGCCTATTGCAAGAGATAAACTGTTCCTTGGATTTGATCTAGATGGATGGTATAAAGGCATATGATCAAAGCTGGATAATCAGCCATGACCCGTTATTGAATAACATCTTCTTTCTGGGATGATAATCATGAGCTATGTAAGTTCCCAGGCATATGACTATGGAACATATTAAACTTCCTGTTTTTCATTTTCCATCATCTGGATGTGCTGCCATTTTTATTTTTGCTTGGTATCAGATATCAACCTTTGAAACATGCTGCTCACGGTTCCCATCCTGATTTAATTACTTCTGTAATTTTGCAGGTTCTGAGGTGTTCCCCTGCCCACAAGGGTGTCTGAAGTCACTTCTAAGGAGGGAATAGCTCTATGTTGTGCATACAGAGGTGCCCTCTCCATTGCAACAAATGATTGAATAAATACATTTTTACTATTGCAACCATTTGTTGCAACAATGGCTCCTGGAAGTGGAAAATATTGCATGAAATACTGTGCAAAATATACAAAACATATGAAATGTTGAGATAATAACTTCTAATCAATAAAATTTACTATTCTGTGTAGGCTGTGAGGAAAATTAATTCAAAATTTAGAATTTCAAGGGCAAAGATCACTATGGCCAACAGATTTTCCCTTATATGGGATGTAAACACATAAAACATTAAAAACCTCATAGCAAATAAAACTTGCCTGTTGTTCTACATAAGGGTTAGGAAGTTAGCTTGCATTTACAAACTAAAAGGATGAAGTTCACAGCCAATAACATTATCCTTTTACGAGATATAAACATATAAATGCATAGCACACATGTCAATAAATATATTTTAAGTTATCCTTTGTCTTGAGCTAAACTTCTTGACACATGCAATAGTAACTGGGCTTAAGGGGTAAGGAACAGACCAATACCTCCAATTTATGTTGTGAATCTAAACTTTACATAAAAAAACAATAATATTTCATCCCCTTAATCCTAAAAATTCAAACCAAGACATCCCATAGAGCAGAAAGTCTTTTTATAAAGATGAGACTCTCAGGCCAGTATAATATAGCAATAGCATGTAGTGGGGCCTTGGTAACTGGTACTCCAAAGTTCCTCATTTAATGAAGATGTGTACCTAAATATGAAATGGTTTGCCTTTTATACCATGCTTGTGTAGGGTGTGATCTGCCTAGCCAAATGTACCCTATCAGCCAAGAATTGTGGCCTGTCAGATGTTTGACATCTGCTTCCTGCAACCCACTGTTTGCAGTCCCGGGGAGGCAGCCAGTCATAAGGATGTTAGTGGAGCCTTGGTGGGACCCCATACACAGCTGATCTGCTGAATTTGACCTGATGGGTCTCCAGGCTTGCTTTATAAATATACTTTGTAAATGCCTTTGATCTTTCTCTCGTTCCATGTTTCTCTCTGTTTCTTTCTTTATGGCAATCCATGGTATATGGGTAATTTTATCAATAGATGTAATAACATTTATTTTGGAGATTGCTTCTTTCTTTTGTATTCATTTTATGCACAGTAAAGATGTTGAACAATTAACTAGTTCTAGAAGAACAGTTCTTTTAGCAACTCTGCAAGGATCTGCTTCATATTCCTCTTGCAGCTAATTCCGAGGCACTTTACACATCATCCTTCCACTGGAAACTTAAAATTATGACCACATGCTATGGTTTGGAAAGAAATCCCTAGAAAAACAGCTGTTGTGAAGACATTTCCTAATACCTCTTTGACTTCTGTAACTGACTACTAGGCTGTGGGATATTTGAGGGCTATTGCTCTGTCTTCCCACACTTTTCTGTTCCATCAGCTCTGAAAATGGCCAGTGACCTGCTTGAGAATTAAAAGGTTGGCCAGATGTTTCCTGAGCACAAGCCAGCTTTGTATTTCCCTTTGCACATCATCTTGCAAGAGGCAGAGTTATGATGAGTGCAGATCTGACATCATTTCAGAAAGCTGATGGCTGGGTCATTGGGAATCTTTCTTGTTGGAAACCACATCTTTGTTTCCTGAAGAATTGGATAGAGTAAATTTGAAAATAATATAAGTTAAATTTAAAATCATTATCTGGCAGGCAGGTTTGCAATATGAAGGCTGTTTCACAAATGATGCCTTCACTAGTATTGTGTTCCTTGTCTTTTGTGACTTGAATAAGAAATGATTTTTTACATAGATCTTTTCTGTTTTCAATACCCTGGATTATTTCACACATAACATGGTAGAGAACATAGGGAAATGCTTGCCAACTGTACACTCAATAGGAAGCCACTGCCCTAGCAAGGACTCCTTTGTGATACTTGCATTATATACACATGATCTGTCACCTTCACATTTAAAATGTCAAAAGAAAAGATAAATATCTAACGTGTTTAGCTGCAAAATATGTGTGAACTACACCATGTTTCTAAGTCAGCATCTCCTCCTGCTTTATGCATAGTGTACTTATCTATTTGGACAGTAGGATTCAGACACCTTTGTGCAGGGTATTATTGTGTTCCTGGCCTCTTGTATGTTTTCTTAGCATCAATAGGCTACTATAGATTGTCATACTCAAGTGAGCCATGGACTGGCCAAATCCAAAGCCCTCTCAGGCCTGCATCATGGGTCATGGAAGCTTGACTCAACTAGATGGACCCATCTACTGGGAAATAGCCATTTGGATGGTGGAGAGGGAAAAACTGCATTCATCACAGATCCCCCCTACCTGCCAGCAACAGCCTAGCAAAGCAGAAGATTCGTGAAAGCATTTGATTCGGTAGGATTGTGCCCTTAAAGAAGCACTTCCTCTTGTAATTCCTGAAACTATCCACAGTCATTTTATTAGGTGAGTCTTTAATGAGAGGGAGAGAAAAAATCCTTTTCTTCATCCTGATAATATAGCTTTTCCTCATCAGGAAGGTGGCTATAATCCCTCAGTCATTTTAGTTGCAGTTATCTGGGCCTGGAACAGCTGCCAAAGAATGCTGATTTAGAAACAAAAACACCATCATGTGCTTTTAGACTACTGGTGACTCTGGCCAAATCAAGAATCCAGCCAGTTTACGCATGCAGACAGGTCAAACTTGCATCCTTTGCAATGACCGGTGGAACTATGAAGCCTTTGAGGCATCTGATCTGTATACAAAGGGAAGCAGAAGCTTTCCAGGGCATATTCTTTTTTCCCCCTTACAAACATAGGGAAAATTACTTTTTAAATAAAATCTGAACCACGATAACCTGCCCATGTTTAATTTCTCCCAGAATGAGCTATGCACTGTGGACATGTTTGTACATGCACTCATCATAAAAACAGAAGAGCCATGCTGGATCTAGTCCAGCATTTTGTTCGCACAGTGGCCAACCAGCTGCATGAAGAAGCACTTCCTTTGATCTGTCCTGGAGCTCCCACCACTCAGGTTCACGGGATAACCCCAGGTCCCAGTATCACGAGAAAGGGAGAAAAATGCCTCCCCATCCACTTTCTCCACACCATGCATAATTCTGTACACCTCTTACTCCCCTTTTTTCTAAGCTAAACAATCTCAGCTGCTCTAACCTTTCCCCATAGCAGAGCTACTCCAGCCCTTGAATCGTTTTTGGTGCCATTTACTGCCCATTTTCCAACTCTGCAATATTGTTTTGTAGGGAGGGTGAGCAGAACTGCACACAGTAATCTTAGTGTGGTCTCATCATAGCTTTGCAGGAGGCTAAGTATGGGGATTCCTAAGTATGTCTAACTTAGGATTCCTAAGTATGTCTAACCTTTGCCTTCTTCCATGGCAGCCACACACTGGGTCAACATTTTCATTGGGCTGTCCACCACAACCACAAGATTTCTTTCTTGGTTAGTCACTACTAACACAGATCTCATCAGCCTATATTTGAAAGTATATTTCTCCCCAGGTGAATCACTTTATACATGCTTATATTGAACTGAATTTGCCATTTTGATTACCATTATTTCAAATTGGAGAGATCCTTTAGGAGTGCCCAACAATCCCTTCTTCTTTTAAGCACCCTATACAATTGGGTGTCATCAACAAACTTAGCAACTTCACTGCTTATTGCTAATTCTGAATCCTTTATGAGTAAGTTGAAAAGCAGATCCCTGTGCAACCCCACTGCTTATATCCCTCCACTGGGAAAATGCACTCTTCATTCTTGCTCTCTGCTTTTTGTTCTTTACCAGTTGCTGATCCATAACAGGATCTTCTTGTTCCAAGAAGATCTCTCCTCTTATTCCAATCCCTTCTAAATTTGCTCAAGAGTCTTTGATGAGGGACTTTTAAAAGCCCTTTGGAAATAAAATATCTACTGGCTCACTCAAATGTTTACTGACACATAGAAAGAACTCTGAGAAGTTAGTGAGGCAGGATTTACCTTTGTAACAGTCTTGTTGATTCTTTCTTAGAAAAGCTTGTTTCTTTTTTCTGCTTATTAATTTATCTGTAAAAATGCTTTCAAGCAATTTGCTCAGAACAGATGTTACACTAGCTGGCCTCTAATTTTCTGCATCACCCTAGATTTCTTTAAAAACCTGGTGTTATATTGAACATACTCCTATTGGTTTGCATGTGGTAGATCAGAGCCAGTGATTTTGGGCAGCCTGATGCAAACAGGCTTTGGAAGCTATTTGTTAACCACAGTTCTCTCTTGGCTGGTCTGTGTTCTCAAGCCTTCCCAAAGAAGGAAAAGTTTATACATGAATAATTCTCCAGAATTATTGACTAAGAATGCATCATAGTAGAATCACACATCAAACAATATCAATTGCCAAGTTGGTGTTTTCTTATGCTTTGTACCTGCTCTAAACCCAGAAGGAAGAAGCTTGCAACATGATTTCCATTTTCACAAACCTTCTTTTCATCCAAGGTTTTAAGAAAAGGAGATGAGTACTGTCCAGGCCACCCTGAGAATTTGCTGGCTGCCTTGGATCACTTGATTTTGCTAATTTCTTGCTGCTTGATTGAACTGGACTTTGTGGACATTGAGGGTTTCAACTTTGGACCATGTGTCCTTATCCATCCAGGCTCTGTAAGCAGGGCAGTGACTACAAGACTGAGCAGAGGGCTAAACTGTAAACCCATTCTTTGTTGATACTCATTTCACGAATGACTCTTCATGCTGTGCACTCACTGCTGGTAATCAAGATATTAGACCGCAGGTTTGTTTGTTTGTTTTTTTGGATTTATATCCTGCCTTTTTCCTACCAAGGGCTCAAGGCAGCTTACATCTCCTCCTCCATCTTATCCCCACAACAACAACCCTGTGAGGGAGGTTGGGCTGAGAGTCTGTGACTGGCCCAAAGTCACCCAGTTGGCTCCATGGCCGAGCAGGGACTCAAACCCAGATCCTCTGAGTCCCAATCCCTTGCTCTTAACCACTACAGGTTCCAGTAAGTGATGTGGAATACTTTAGTGTGAACATTCCTTGTCCTGATTCAGAATGGGCCTGGTTCAAACTAGGGGGTGAGATTTGTCCCTTGTCAGACCTTTTTCCAAACTGCTTGCGGGGAGGTTGAGAAGCAAGGGAGATGTAAGAGCTAAAGCCCAGGTTTGCTTGTGAACATGCTGAGAAGTCTCTGCTGGTACAGAGAAGCATAGGAATGAGTGACACGGAAACAAGCTTTTCAAATTGCTCCCACTTTTTGAAGGGGTGAGGGAAAGGACTTGGAGGACCTGAATTGTTTCTTGAGCCTTGCTCCCATTCTGGAACATTGCACTATCCCTAGTCTGAATTGCATTTTGGGGAAGAAAATGTCAGCAGTCTGAATGGTTGTTGGACATTAAAACTGGAGGAAATCAACGCCTGGGACAGAGGCAATAACGCCAAGCTGTGAGGAAAGGCTAGAGGAAGCTGCAGGGTACTGGAATATAGTAGGCCAGGAAAGGGGATCAAAGCATTAGGAAGGAGACTCAGGTAAATGTAGGATCCAAGGGCACGGTCATCCACTCACCACTGATGGAGCCCTGCGGGCTGGAATGGCAGGCAGGCTGGGAAATGAAAGCAGCATGGACGCAACACACTGCTTTTATCTGCAAAGTCACATCAGCATTTGGTTTCCTTTTTCCTGATTATTATACAAGGGTTGGAAGAAACCCAGAAAAAGAGTGGATGGGGGGGTGGGGAGGCAGACGATTTGGCTAAAAATTGTAGCAACATTTCTGCTAAATCATCCTCGTGGTGGCATGAATGACAACCAGCAAAAGGAAATATGAGGTAATCACTGAAAGGCAGTTCATTGAGGAGGGGAAGAAGAAGATTGGGAACTGGAAAAGAACCCAGCTCCTGTTTCAGATAATGGTGGGACTGGAATGACTGTATTCATTCTTTGACCTCATGGCAAGTTAGGAAAGGAAAGCCACTTAAAACAACAATAAAGAATGCAGCCAATTTGCTCTGAACACCGATAAGCCTTTCAAAGACAAACACCACAATCCAAAGTTCAGCAAGATTCAGCAACATGTAAGGAATTCTACAGACTTAAAATCAGGGAATACATCATGCATGCGTGCGTGATCGGGGTGGGCCAATCATGGCCAGGACAGATACATGTTGCCCTGGGCTTCTCCTTCACATTTTGCTGCAAAGAAGCTGCGTCCGATTCTGAATCCCTACCTGCAAGTGTGAAGATTTCATGACGTGCAACAGAAGAAATCCACACAGAAACACATCATATACCCAGCATGCTAAGGGAAATGAAATTTAAAATGCCCCTTGGGAATCAGCCGTATCTCAGCAGTTCTGTCGGCAGGATGAATGCTTCAGAAACATCTGTGGGCTACTATGCGTGCTGGTTGCAGATGGCAGTTGGCACAACTGTAGTCACAGAGAGCATGTTCTCCTACTTTGATTTTTTGCAACAGAGATTTGGCCAGCTGCTGAAGGCGTTGTGCGAACTGCAACAATATGGTAAGGATTTTGAGAAATGTGGTTGTCATCTGCTTGACATTTTGGAGCTGCTTTGACAATTCTTTGCACTGGGTGGGGGAGGAAATTGTAAAAATTATAGTTCCCCAAGGTACAATCAAAACCAGAGTTACTAGTGGCTTGTTTTTACTGCTCATTGTTTTCCATTGTTGCAAAGTAGAGGACAGGAATGCTCCAAAGCCACTCCAAGTCCAAATAAATTACACTACCAACCAGTTTGCTACAGACTAAAGTCGCCTTCTCCAACTTGGTGTCATCCAGATGTTTTGGACTACAAATCCCAGGATCCCTGACTATTAGCCACGTTGAATCAAACCAATGGGAGTTGAAATGCAAAACATCAGAAGGGTACTACTTTGGGGAAGGCTGGGCCAAGGGTATATTCAGTTATTTGATGATAGTGTTCTTAAGCAGTTTCACTAACATTGTCCCCTAAAAGTAGCTTGAGAATTATACAGTAATACAGGAGTTGCTACTTATTTGTTAGTGATATTTAAAAGAACTGCAGTTCCTTGATGGTACAGAATAAGGGTTAAGCCATTTAAGGGATGTGGCTGTGAAGATGAGGCCTGGCTTTCTTCCAAGGCACCATTCCCAGCCACACAGTTCAAATTCGCAATGTGAGCTAAATGGGGTAGAAGGGGAGGAGGACTGGCAGGTGACTTCAAAAACTCCAGGACAGCCAGTGAGATTAGCCAGGCAAATCTCCCAAACTGTTTTGGGTTTCGGAGTGGGGTGAGAGACTGTAGAACTGGATGGGGGGAGTGAATTCCTAGAGCCAGTGAGCCAGTGCCAGGCCAACCAGGTGGATTAACATCATGACATCAGACATTTGCACTTTTAGGCCCACAAGCAGTGCGAACCAGCCTGAGGGTGAAATCAGGACTCTGAGAAAAGAAGGGAGGTGGGGGCGATTTGAGTTGGGAATCAACTCTTAATATGGGCAAAGCTACTCTGCCAGATTTGATTTGATTTATGCAGCTTAGCAGCTCTCATAGAACATGTCCTGTAGCTCAGGAAAACACGTTAAGTTCCAATTAAGGATTGTACTTCATAAGCTTTTTGTTTTGATCTATTGGAAAGGAAAAAACAGGGAGAAATGTGTTCACAATAGTGGCATAGACATGCACTGGGAACTGTGGCAAAGCATACACTATAACCTGAAGAGGTTCCCTGATAATAAAAATGGTTTTAATAAAAGTGCTTAATATAAACAAACAGATACATAGACAAATATAATGGCTAAGAAATGCATACACCTGCATTATCTAATCTGCTACTGCAGGCAGGCAAATTTCTGCTCCACTTACAGCCCTCTTCACAAATTTGCACACAGTTCTGTGGGGATTCCTTGGAACTGATAGGGAATCAAGTCCCCCACCAAGTGGAAAAGCAAGTACTCTGAAAGGGGGAATTAAAGGGGAGTTACTCCCTTTCTGGAATACCTAGAGACTCAGGGAGGGGTTGAAAAAGTGCAGAGTACTCAGAAATGTCAGTTCAACATTTAAAATTGAGAGATTATGATGGCAAGGAGTGGATATTTATCGCTGCCCCTGGAACACCTTTTGCTGCCTCTCCACCCCTTACCAGTGCTTTTCAGTTGATTACTTGACAATCGGCCCCTGGCAACTGTGCACGAATTAGCCTGTATGAAGGCTTGTCTTGTCCTCCCTTTGACAGCTGAAGCAAACAAATTGAACAGGCAGGACTATACATATTGGAGAGCTGTAAGAGCATGCTTCCAAGGAACAGATAAAATAATGAACACATTTGAGTGATTCTTAAGAGCCAGAAACATATACAAGGCCAGTTGCACTTCTGGGTAGCTTGGGGAGGGGGGGGGGGACTACAGCAGCAAACAAAAAGAGGAACGATCAGGGCAGGGAAGAGGAGCCAGTGCAGGTTCTGCCATGAAGGAGACTGGAATACCAGCTGGAGAACCAAGGGGGAAGAGTAGGAGCCACGGGGAGCTGTCAAGCGTACAACAGGTTGTTCAGGGAGCAATCAAACCTCTGCGGCTTATTTGCAAGGGCTTAGCATAGCACGTGAACAAGCCCATACATCAGATTACCAGTAAAGGGAGAGTTTTTTTACCACTGCAGTGCCATGTATGTAAGAACCTGCTCTGTACCCACACAGATTTTACCATTCAGCTGTGAAATATGTATTGGAGTCCTATCACCCACAAACCACAGTAGGAGGGTGGGTGCTATTTTTCCCGCAGCGCTCACCACTGGCAAAAATAGACGAAGAATAGTTGTGAAGGAGCACAGCCACTGCAGGGAACGGGATCTTGCCAGATCAGCCGCTCTGGAGGTGCAGCCCTTACGAAGTCGAGCAAACAGAAGACCAGTTATTGTCACCATCAAGGGAGGTTTGCAAAAGCAGGCAGAGAACTCAGTTGTTGTACTGATGACCTGCCAAGCAGATATGGGCAGTCTGACTTTTTGAAAAATTTATGTATCGCACCATATATGCACCTCATTTTTCTTCCTCTTGCAAGGAACAGCTTGGTTTTCAGACTAAAGTAGCTGAAAAAGAAACTAGATTTTAAAGCGGTAGCAGAAACTTCACGGACCCTTTACGCTACTTTGCAACCATTGAGTTGACGAGCTGCAGTACCCCTTCTTGGACAGCCGCCTTGATGGACTCCTGAGCCTCAGAGAAAAGCCAAACAGCTCCCACTTCCAACAGGCTGCCTTGGTGCTATCCAGAGGACAGTGTGGGGGATCAGGCTATTTGACTCCCAAATAATCTATGTGAAGCGCTTTGAAGGTCTGAATGTGTTATATAAATACCCTGTGAGTCTTCTGGGTGACTGAAAATAAGATGGCTTAAGCGCCAGACATACTCCCTTAGCGTGCTTGGTGCCTGCGGGCCACACTGCTCCTATGATGGTCTTTGTGCTGGTTGCTGCCACCTTTGTGGCACTTTCCCCACTGCAAGCCCAGCTTCTCACACTTTCCACCTACTTTTGGACTGTCCCAGGCACTCCGACCCTGCCTGCTAGCCTCTGCCCTGTTACTAGAACTCCCAGAACTGCAACGATGAGGTTGTCTCTCATATCAGGCAGAATTTCAGAATGAAGGACTAGTGCACTCAAGCATTTAATTTGGGTGTCTAAGCATCAGGGTAGCATGTGACTTTGAGCAACAGTGCCAAGATTCAAAACTCAGCTGCTCAGAGACAAGATTCATAAATCTGGAGAAATTTTGCGAAATGGGTTGAATTTTGACAATATATTAAGGTACGCATTTAGACAGGTCATCAGTGGTGTTTGCTTGCCATAATGTAACATATATGTCATTTTGAGGGTCCTCTAGTTCAGCATTCCCCCATCCTTCCAGATACCTTTGGGCTGCAACACCCAGAATTCCCAGTGAATGGCCCTGCTGGATGTGAATTCTGGGAGTTGCAGTCCAAATACAACAGTCCATTCTGAAACTCAAGGTGAAGGATGCTATAAAGCTTTTTAATTAATTAATTAATAAGCAAGCAAGCAAGCAAGCAAATAAATAAATGCCTCTGAAAGCCACCAGGATGAGGAAGGCTGCTCTAGTAAATTTCGTATTGCACATGTCAGACCAATGCATTAAATCAAACAAGTAATAATTAGGTGCAATCCAGTTGGGATGCTTGTAACCCTCCCTTCTTAGAAGATTACAAGTATTCTCTGAACGGAGGGAGGAGTTTGGAGGTGACAGTAACCTCCATATTCCATTTGCTCTGATTTCAGCCGTCTAAGTGCAGCTGCTTAGAGCAGGAGAGAAGGCGGCTGAGGCATCATCAGAACTGTCACATCTTAGCAGTGCCTCCTGGAACACCCCCAAAAGCTCCTTTCTGCACTTGCTCTTATGACTTTGAAGATGCGGATGGCACCGTTCTTCCCACACCAACCGTAAGGGTGCCAGGGGATCTAAATGCAGGTCCCTAGCTACTAAGTTCTAATTTTTGATCACGCAGGATTGCTGAGCCCATTCTGTAGGAGGAAACTAAAGTCTTGTACCTGAAGATACAACCCACTGCAAAAGGGGAGGAGCAGCATCATAGATTGCTGTGAGTTCAGAATAGATACAGCTCCCTTGAACTTACACCACAATTAATACATTTTAGGATGACACTGTGGTGATAGCCTGAGCGGATTCAAAGTGAATTGAGCCCTAAGCAATGGTGATATTTGCCCAAGATGACAGAAGCTACAGTCACCATAGCCAGGACAAATAATCACACCAATTCCCCTTGCTGTAGAAAAGGTTGAATGAAGCATGAGAAGCGACTTATTAAAGTCAGTAAAAATCCTCTGTAGGCCAGGAAACAAATTCACTTTACCTTAAAACACAAACAAAAAACCCTCCCCTATTTTGCTTTTGATTTGTGTTTCCTCTCACAGATTTGTGAGACACGTGATGCATTTTACTGAGGGGGAGGGGGAATCTAATATGTTAGTGCCATCTAGTGCTCAGCCTAAAATCAAGTACGGCTGAGAAAATGGACCAAGGAACCAAGGGAACGTCATGGCATGTAGGGACTTCCTCCTGTATCAGGGGAATATTTTCTAATATATACACAAAAACCTGCAATAAAATGCCCTGTTCAAGGGGAAAATATGTTTCTAACTCTAGCAAGCAAAGAAAATGAAAGGAAAATGTGGTGATTGCTGATGATATCCGTTTTCAAGAAAAAGGTCCTGTCACGTGTTATGGCCCAGCCATTCATTGTGTACAGCACGCATCTGTGCCTCATTCAACTGGTGCAGGCAGGTAATTTTATACCCTGGATTTAATTGCCATAACGTGCATGCTTGTGCGTGTTTAGGCAGAAAGAAGGCCTAAATGTAGGCCTTCTTTCTGTCTAAACATGCATAAAATTCTGCCCTATTGGGATGCAGAATAACAAGAACAACTGATTGCGATTCTTCTGCTAGAACTCGTCCAATGCCATTGTCCAGGCAGGGTCACACCTGGCAGAAAACACTCTGTGCC